TTTATCACTTGTTATTGTTGTTGCTTTTTTCAAGTTACTTTCCTTATCAGTACAGTACACGCAATGCTCTTATAATTTTGCATTGACGCAATATACAAAATACGAAGAAAATTAAAATTCTTTAATTTTGTGTAAATTTATTAAGTCTTTATGACCTTTTTATGCAAAGCAAATTTAGGGTCTTGTCCTTTCCCGCACCTTTCCACTAAACTACTGCAAATTTATGTTTGCGTCATAAATTAAGAAAATTACTTTATCAACCAAAATATATACTCGTATTGGGCAAAATACATAAATCTCAAGTGTAGAAGGGGAACTTACAATCTCCTACTCTCCCTTATTTTATTTAATTCTCCATCTTCAATTTTGAGAACACTAAAATTTGCTAATTAAACTAATAGCCTTTAAAGTTGAAGTGCTACGCTTTGATGGTTTCTTCAGCTTTAAGCTTTTCACTAAAAGGCTTCCGAGTTTTTTATATATAAATTTTTGTCTTCATCCGGAATTTACTTTCAGTTATTAGTTTGTAGTGTTGTAAATTTTTATAATTTTAATTGGTGTTTTTATTATACCACCCCTTTCTAAAATGATATAGTTATTTAAAATGTTGAAAATATTTTAATTTCGGATTTTAATTAATTTAAATTGCAACAACAGAAATTGGTTGGATTTTATAACACATTATGCATATTTTTTTGTTTTATAATGGATGGTTTAGTAGGTGTTTTTATAAAAAAATTAAAAATTATTTTTAATAACTATTTTTCATTGACCGACTTTTGCCTTTTTAAAAAACAGGCAATTTTCTGTGGTTATTTTTAATTTATTAACAACATAATAGCTATTGCAAATTTAATTTTAATCAAATATAAATTAAGGGAAAGCTCAGCTTTTAGCCACATAATCTACAAATAATAGATTGTACAATAATCTCCAAAATAATATCTTCTAGTACATACACCCTGTATCATTGCAATATGAAGAAATGAGTGTGACTGACTTTAAGCACTATCAAATCTGCTTAGTTAGTGATTATTAGTTGCGCATCCGGGAGGGAATAAAGGAATTGGTATCTCTTTAGTCACATAATCTATAGATAATAGTTTGTAAAAATTCTGCCAAAATAATAATTCTTCATCCATCCAGTGGAACAATCTTGGCAATGCATCTGGTGAAGACTAAGTCTAAACTTCTAAAATGTGACACCATTGACGAAACGGTTAAAAAATGACTTCAAATTAGAGACCTTGCAGTGGTGTGTTTCGTTAGTTTACGTGAAGATTTAAGCATGAAAAAGAACTCTGATCTTGGATCAAAAGCACAATCGCTTAAACGTTTCCAGATGTCGTTAAAATGGTTGTGGTATAATGATTTTTTGCATAGATTCATAACTTTAGACTTTGTAAAAACTCTAATTGAACTAATGGATTAAATCTCGGCTTAAACTAACTAATCAACTAACCTAATTTCATTACTGATTTTAAAAAATAAAGTATAATATTTTAAAAATTTAATTATTTGATATTTGCTTTTAATTATATATTTCGGTAACGAAAAATGGCTTATCCCAAAATTTATTTTGCCTCATTTTCTATTTATGATAATTTCAATTAGTTGTTTACGTCATAACAATATAATCAAACTTCGATAAAATGCTCTGTCATAAGTTAAAATAGTATCGACAACTTCCTGTCTATAACAATAAACTGATAATATACTTTTTTATTCCAAAACCAAAAAAAGATAATGACTTTCCCACAAAAACCAAGAGTCTCAATGAATTTCTTATTATACACGTAAATACCCTGAAAATACATTAGTATGCAATTTTCGTGGATAAAATTACAATAATAAATAAAAGGGAAAAGCAGAAAAGTTCCCATTAAACGTCCTTCTTAATCAAGGCAATTATCAGTATCAACCGTAATCAGTATTCATATCCAAATCCTTAAAGCAAAAGCATAAAAATTATAATGCACAGAAAGATAAACATAAAAGTGGTATGAAAAGCAACAAAAGTCAATCAATTAACCGTAAAAATGAAAGTAAAAGGGAATGAAAAATCGAAGCAAAGCATTAATTTCAATATTAATTAGTAGAATTCGCCAGAAATACGATGTTAATGTGCTTGAGAAGGTCATAAAAACTTGAATAAATATTTTTCCCCCATCACACTTCTTTGCTTAAAACAGCGGCACATATTAATTTGACGTTCAATTAAAAAAAATGCAAGGAAGTTATTTTTAATTAGAGAAAATTTTAGAGTATTTAATTATTTAGAAATAAGTGAAAAATTCTTTTCATTTAAATTGCTGACTTGAAATAATTTCTGCCATAATTTGTGGCATAATTTAATGCATACTTTTAGGTTTAAAACTTAGCAGCAATAGCAATCAACTGCACTTTCCAGGATATGCTGAAAATGCAGATAACAAAGCACCTGATGACACATCAACTGCCATTAAAACGACTTTATTTATTGTATTAAAGTAGAATGCAAGGAGAGAAGAAACAAAAACCGAGCCATTGCGGTTGCTGCACTCAAAAATTTTATGCGCTTAATGGCAATTGCGCTGCGGAAAAACTAAAGTATAAAATAGCATAAAGTATAAAACGTTTAATAACAAAAAAAAAGATAAAAAGGAATGCACAGTTTATTTCATAAAAAATATATATACTACACTCTACGAAAAAATTAATAAAGCATTAAAATAGTTAATACCGGAAGGGATTTGCTTGTGACTCTGGTAAAAGGCGATAAGTGTTGGTACCAAATGAAGTGAATGCATTTGTACAATTAAAAAAAAATCCATATTAAATTGTGCGTATAAAAGATATAAAGAATAAAACAATTTAAGTTTAAAAACCAACAAAACCCAAAAAAAATAAAAATCATTTTTACCCTCGAAAAAGATTTATGAAGGAAATTTTATGTTCGCAATTTTATTTGGAATATATATTGAAACTATTCATAAACTTAAGTTATTAAGAAATTTTTCAAAAAGTTTCACATCGCGTAATATTTTATGGTAAATTTAATGATCATAATTACTTAACTATTAAAAAGTTTTTTAATATATATGAATTTGCAAGTTCATTTAACTTGATTCATTTTGATGGAAACTTTTCAAAGCATGCAATTTAAGTTTCATGGCGTATGAGTAACAAAAAAAGGTACATAGCGCAGCTGTGTGAAGGGAATTGGTAAAAAAAATATATTAATTTTAATATAATTATGTTACTTACATATATGTATATATTCTACACATAATAAGCACTAGGTTCCGCAAATATACATACATTATATTTTATACAAGTAAATTAAAGAACATTTCTCTCATCTTCTTATATATTCATATACAACTTGTTAGATCCATCGTATTTAGCACTGTCAATTGCTCAAGATATATTCCAAGCGGTTTTAACTTGTTTGTTATATCGTTTGCAGCATGACCACTTGTTTATAACTAGTACAGAGGTTTCTTTAACATTGTTAGCTGCTTCATGGTTGATCTAGCTTAAGCTTGGAAAACATTACAACGTCCAGAAGGATTCGTTTTTAGTTATATTACTTTGTGGGTAAAAGTTTTTAGACAAATAATTGCCAATAATTATAATGTAAATGCTATTTATATTTCTTTCTGAAGTCCTTTTGGATATAACTAAGTATTCATTCTCATCATATAAATATTGATATATCTCAATAGAAAAAATGTACATCCAAGAATCTATTAAAACATGTAGTAGTATCTATTTAATGAAATGGAATTATCTATTTTTATAAAATCTTTTAAAGACTATTTTATTGAAGTTTGTTA